AGATAGATAGATAGATAGATAGATAGATAGATAGATAGATAGATAGAGGTCCAAAGACCCGTAGAACAAAAGAGAGGCCTACAAACATTGGAGAAGTCAACTCTTAAAATATGGCTGCAGCTAGCTCACCAGCTCTCTAAATAACATGGGTGATTCTTTTATGTTACATTTATAGGAGTGTGCATAAACTGAATTCATCCTGGAGGAAAATGTAGTAGTTTATGGCTGCTTATGGATCCATCCATAGATGTGGAAGTTCAGTAATTGACTTTGGGCCCATCACTTATCTAACCTATTTCTTAATGGGGTTCTTGTGGAGGAAGAGACTGCTTTAAATCATCATATCACTTTTTAAAAAGATTTAATAATTAAAATGTTCTCTTTCTTTTTAAAAGTCCTATAAAGTCGGTTTCCATTGATTGTATTAGGTTAGTGAGCACTTTTACAATGTATTGCAGAGTTACACATTTATGAATCAAGAACAATTACAGCTGCTTGTAGAAAGACTCGATCCGGCGCAACCTAAGGAGGTAAGTTAAAAAAAAAATTGGGAAAAATATCTTACCCTTTTGCGCTTGCATGGACAAATTAAGTTTGGTTTTGTCATGTGTTAAGCTCATATTTGGTGAACTGCTTCTCAGTCTAGTAAAGCAGTTTCATTTTTGTAATTTAAAAAACATAAAACTCAAGGAAAATCAGAATAAAAGGGGCGGAGATGTGATCAATGATATGAGGACACTTGGCAGATGGATGGAAATATGTCTTCTGATCTAATGGGACAGAATCTATTTCCCACTGGATTAACTGTTCCTCTTCTCAATCTTATACTTTAAGCATAGTCTATTTCTAATCCTTTCTCTGAGATGGTTCTTCATAAGTCTCGCTGGTATCAACTGTTTTGATAAAAGTTTTCAGCAGAAGTGGGAATGTAATATAGCAAAACTATGTGCATACATTTGAGACTAAAAACAGTTCTGTATTTTTTCAAGAACATCCCTCCCCCTCAAATCACATAGCATTGATTTTAGTTTGCTAAGAACAACTCTTTCTTCAATTCTATTTAATGAAATAAACATTGCAGTTACCCAGTTTGGAAACAGAGAACTGCAGATGTTCAAAACATATACAGAAGACAAAGAATGACTAAAGTACATGATATTATTTCTTTTTATTTTTTTATTTTTTCCCCAAAAAGTTTTTAATTTTTTAATTTTACACATATCTTTACGTGGGCAACATGGTTCAGATTATAACACTTGTACATAATCATACTTTCATTTCCACCAATCTTATATAATATCATCTCATATCATTGTCCATTTCACTCATCTTTAAATAAGTTTCCGTTTCATATTTCAGTTCATTAATTCAATATCAATATCATTTCATCCACATATAGATTCCCAGTTCTTTATCCCCTACTATTTCCATTTTCAGCTTACCACCTATTTTATTCAACATTACACATCATTATTATTCTAAAGTTTTCCTAGGTCAATTATATAATCAACAATCTAGAAAGAATAAAAATAAAAACCAATATATTTAGGATCCACATGGTATGTCCCCTCAGTCTGTCTGATTTAATAATTCATTCCCCAACTGTAAACATATTAACATTAAATAATCAACTGTATATTTTAAAACATATATATTTTAAGGTATCCCCCCCCTGAAGTTGCTAAAATAACTTCTTAATAGATCTCATTTTAATCCTCCAATATAAGGGTTCATAACAGCATAATTCACATACAAATACACACACACACACACACACACACATATAGTTATAGTTATATAGTCCTAAAATAATTTCCAGCAATTTTAAACTAAGTGCCAGTATACATTCCCATGTGAGATCCCCCTTATACAATCCCTAACCCTTATCTCTAAATCTCATAACTTTATCATTCCTTTTAATTTTGGCTAGGTTTCTCTTTTCTAAGTTTCCCCAATCTTCCTTCTTTTTCCCTTCTAATTTTGTTTTTGTTTCCCTCTGCCTGTTAGCATGTTTTCCCCTCCCCTTTTCAGTTCTCTTTTTTGGGGTTTCTTCTTACATATTTCCTTCTTCCTCTTAATCTTGAGTGTCTTATCTCTTTTGTTTATTGTCTCTAGTGTTGATGTCTCTGTTTTAAGTCCTTTTATATTCTTGACAATGGTCCTTGTTCTTCATGCTCATCAAGGCTGTTATTTTCATTGTCTCTGAGCTTCCTTTGTTCTTCCGCGAGCTGTGACGCCATTACTTTACTCAGCATTAACTCCACCAGTTTCATTCTTTCTTTAAATATCTCTCACATTTGGAGCTCCGACTTAAATTCTTTACTTATTTCTTCCATTTCTTTGGTATATTAAATTATTCTTTATTTTGTTAAAAGTCAAGTTTTTCTGCTATAGTCCTTGTCAAAAGTCTCCTTTTATCTCACTTTCTCTTTCTTTTGTTTTCTTGTCACAATCAACCTCTAACAGTCCCAAAGTATTGCATTCTTTTATGTTTAACTGTAATTCCCACCCTTTTTTTTTAATAAAGCTTCCAGGGATCTTGTTATATTAATAATCTTTTATTCCATTTCTTCTCTATACGACCAGTAATTTCCATAGAAACATAAAAGAAGGAAATCTTTAACCCTTAGGTGGTGCTCTGTATCGCTTTCTTCTTAAAATTCCTTTATTTTTAATTCACTTTTCTGTAGTATTAATATTAAAATTTATCAGTTCCAAATAAGTCCAGCATTTTATCCAATGCCTGATTAATGTCCAGTTCTGTATGTTATTTCAAATTTAGTCTCTAATCACATATAATTCTTTATTTCCAGTTTTTTCTTTACCTTATATTTTCCGCTTATTTCTCGTTTGCCGCTACCTCTCTTCCAAACGAGGACTTTTTCTTTCCGCTTTTCGAGGATATCAAAAAAAATGTTCAAAGTCTTTTATCTAGTTACACGCCGCTCACCACTTTCACTCTCCAGCACAAACTTGTGTCCCGGCAGCTTCCCGCCTTCAGGGCAGCCATTAAAGACTGCTGCTTCTCCCTGTCTTCTAGGGGAGTTTGTCAAGCCAGGGAGGGGAGATGTAGCTCTCCTCGATCCAGCTGGCGGTCTCCCCCTCTTTCCCCCACCCCTTCGAGGTGGGTCAGATGGATCCGGTCCTTTAAGGACCCCTCCAACAGGGTAAGCACAGATCAAAGCCATGCACAATCGCGGTCTCCGATTCGTCGTCGACAAGAATGCCACCGGAAGTCGATATTATCTCTTTTTAGAAAATATGCTTTGGGGGTTTGAAATGTATGTATCAGGACCTTTCTTACAGCCTGAATCTCATTTGTTAAGCATTTATGTACTAATATATGGGAGGCTGTAAAATTTCACCTTTTCCATTTTAAACAGGTACATGATTTATTTCATTGACTGCTGCACTCTACTCCACTTTATTAGAGCCTACCTGCTTAATTTTATTTTCCATAAAAAAGCAGAACAATGGTTGGCATTGCATTCTTAGATTGAATTGAAATTGCAATATTGAATCTTCCCAATGTTGGGAAGAGAATGGGAAAGGATAGTCCAGGTAGCTTTCTTGACAAAAGCATGGCTAAGGAAATGGTCTGCCATTGACTTCTTGGATGCTTTTTGACTTCCCATTCTACCCTACAATCTTGGAATCTTCCAGTGTCTGAGTTTGATTAGGATAGGATAGAATAGAATTAGAATAGAATATAACAGAACATTTTTTATTGGCCAAGTGTGATTGGACACACAAGGAATTTGTCTGCAACAAATTACCACTCAGTGTACATACAGAGTAATATAATCATAAGATACCAATAGAAGAAGGTAATAGGAAAAATGAGAAGGATAATAGCAATACAACCCTACTATATGAGTTTTCTTTAGACATAAGACAGTGCTGTGGGAATTACGTTTTCAACCTAGAGATGGCACAAGGGAAAAATTATTGTGTCTAGTTGTGTTGGCATGTAATTCCTTGTAGTGGCATCCCCAGGGGAGGAGTTGAAACAGTTTATGGCCAGGATGTGAAAGGTCTGTAGATATTTTCTCAGCCCTCTTTCTGAACCATGCAGTATACAGGTCCTCAGTGAAAGGTAGGCTGGATATAATCATTTTTTTCTGCGGTCCTAACTATCTATTGAAGTCTGTGCCTGTGCTGTTTAGTTGCTGTGCCAAACTGGACTGTTTCTGAGTTTGATTAGCTTTATGAAATCAGACCAAGGTCTGTATGACAGGAGAGGAGAGGGAGAGGGATGGGGTGGGATGGAGAGGGCAGATCAAATAACCTGTGACAAAGACAAGCTGTGCAGAATTTGGGAGGACAAGCTGAGAGGAAAAAGTCTATAATAGAAGGCAAGTAAAAATTATAGCAGAAGTTAGAGGTGTATAAAGGAAAAAGGTGAAGAAATAGAGATTTTTCCATCATTCTTAATGATTAGGGTGATGATGGAGAATTAAATTTTTGATATAGCCTTCATTGTAGGTTTATATTTCAATTTTATTCTAATAGTGCAGTTTTCTTACTTAGTTCTCCTTGATTTTTAGGTCCGCCAAGAAGCCATTCAAACCTTGTGTTCTGCACCCCCATCTGATATTTTAAATTGTGAAAGTTGGAGTACCTTGCGTAAATATCTTGCAACAGCACTCTCGGATCCTGATTCCAGTTTCAGTGTAAAGATACTAATAAGCTTTTTATTCTTAACCAATATTTCAATTGATTGTAATTTATACAATATATAAGTTCCTTTTTTATCATCTGCCTAAGAAATTGGTAATTCAAAGTATTTTTCACTCTTTGGTTAAGGAAGCAGACGTACTGTTATGACTTTTTCAGGCATTACTCAAAAAATATTAGTTTCCTGAATAATGCCTGAATAAATAATGCTCGAATAACTCCTGAATAAATGAAGCCAGAAAAAAATGTTATTCATATATGATAATATAGAATTTTCTTTGACTTAGAGAAGTGTAACATGCCAAAGCTCCAGAAATATTAGATGCTAAATTATTAATCTGTTAGTAATATGAAATAGATAATGCTTTCTGTATACATAAACTTGAATGTAGTTCTAATTAATTCAATGTAGCTGATACATTTGCACAGTAATTTTCATTTCTGTCATTTTCACCAACCATTAGACAGTATTTAATTCACTTTAAAAAAATATACTTTATTTAGGTTTTAATAAAGGTAAATATTAACAGAAACTAAAATTTAGAAGAAAGGAAAGAAGAAAGGAAAGAAAAAATTCAAAATCCAAAGTGCTGAAAAAAAGAAAAAAAACACAGAGAGAAGTAGCTTCTTAGCTTCTTTACAACAGTTATAAATTGATCTCTTATTATCTATTCTATTGTTAATTACACCATGACTATAATTTTTTCCTATAAACTTATTTTTTCTTATCATAAAAACCATTATCATAATTTCATTTTTTCCCAGAAAATAAATTTAGATTTTTTTTTTTGTGGTCAAATTTTGTCATTTTCACCAACCATTCTCCATTGTAGGAAATTTTGAATCTTTCCACCTGTGCACATGGATAATCTTGCTACAGGTATCCTGTATAAAAACAACATTCCATGACTTTTTTCCAACTATTAATCAGGCTTAAAAGAAAAGCCTCTGGTTTTAATTATATATTAACTTTTAAAATCTTCCGAATTGATGTGTGTATTTGAATCCAAAATTTTCTGGTTTTGTTGAACATCCACCGAGCTTGATAAAATGTCCCGCTTCGTTGTTTACTTTTCCAACATAAATTTGATCTTGTATCTTCATATTTTGTTGTCATTTTTGTCTTTTGTTTGTTAATCTTAAAACTTGCTAATGCGCCAAATTATTTCCCATTAGTGTTTTGATTCCCTTGAAAGGATCTTCCAAAACCAACCGCACCTGCAAAATCCCTTAAGTTGTAACTCTTTTTAAATTTTTACTCCCACAATCCTCTCATCTTACCTTATATCTCCACTCAGAATTTCAAGAAGCAAAATTAACAGAAGGGAAGACAGTGGGCAACTTTGTCTTGTTCCTTTTTGTATCGCACATATATTTGTTAGATCTCCATTAACAATTTTGGTTTTCTGTGAAATATAAATCAATGTTACCCATTTTATAAAATTCTGTCTAAAAATTTATATTTCCCAAGACATTAAATAGAAAAGTCCAATTCAACTGTCAAAGCATTCCCTGCATCTAAATTTTTTTAATGCTTGTTTTTCCACCATGTTGTTCCAAATATTCTAGAATGTCCAATTCTGACATTGTCTTTTAGGTAAAAATCAGCATTGCTCTTTGGGAATAATTTTTTGCAAAATTAGCAAGGATAATGTAAGGGAGAAGAGGCTGAATTATAGTATGGGAGGCACACATTCTAATACATCAGCTAGGGAAGCTAACTGGATAACTTTGAAATAAAATCTATTTCAGCTCATTCTAGCTTGGAGGGGTTTTGCTTCTGAAGGAAAAGAACACAATCAATCTTAGTACGGTAATAATAAAGATAATAATTTAAGAATCCTCACATTTCTTGAAGGAGAGTCATGATATAAATCGGGAAAATAATTAAAGAAACCAGCAGTATATATTGTGGTACAGGTTTGGTTTGGATTATATGAACCCAGTAATGCAGATGAGTTGTGGGACCAACAAAAGGCAAACAACTAAATGTGCATCACAGTTGTTACATACTTGTACATAGTGTCGTGACACATGTACAAAATGGTGGAGCTTGACTTCGATACTACATCTCAGATGTCATCATTTTGAAATCATCAGTGTTAGCTGATGTCCATTCCTTGTAACTTGTGTTTAATTCATTTTTTTACAGGATAAAGTCTTGAAATTTTATGCCAAGACATTTTCCTCCTCTCCATTAAATATGACAAGAGAACTCTATACAAGCTTAGGTGAGCTCAAATTACTTCTTTTCAGAAACAAACGACCACAATTTTCACTGGGTCTCTTAAATTAATTGGCAATTATTTTTCTCTTTATAGCAAAGTACTTAGAGGCATATTTTCTTGCTGAAGATAATTACATTCCTAGTGTGTCAATGGGTATTGACATAAGTAACCCAGACATAATACGTTTACTTAAAAAGGTACAGTGTACTTATTTTCCAATGTTATTTATTTATTTAAGATGTTTTTGATCAAGGATTTTAAAATAGAATAATTATCCTTTTATTCATAGATGCGACTCCTGAATGAGTACCAGAGAGAAGTATCTTCTTTTTGGATACGTCATCCAGAAAAGTATATACCATTTTTTTAATGTGGTTGTGGTTGTTTTCATTTGTGTTTTCAGTTTCCTTATACTAATTGATAGATAGGGATGATAAAGTTTGCTTAGGTTATCTTATGCTTTGCCTTTACCTTGATATAACTGAAAAAGCTTTGTACCTGAAGATGCAAAAAGCTGTCATACTTTTATATAAAATATGATCATAAGTAAGGGGAATAATAAGAGTCTGGATTTTTTTTCCTGCCTCCCCCAATTTTTCTCCTTTGTACTATTTGTCTACTTGCAACTTGTTTCACATTACATGTTTGAAGATTTGGATGCAGTTTTGTGTTTTACTTAGGAATGTATCCCATTGAAATTTTATGTACCTATTTTAATCTTATGAGATTGTTGTCTGGATTCACTGTCACCCTTGATCCTGCTTTCCCCCCCCCACCCCTCTGGGTGTATCATCCAACGAAAAATGTCCATAGCCAAGAGTCATCAATCATGCTCTCCAATTAGATTTTTGTGCGGCAGAAGCTTCAATTATCTAATCAGTGTTTGAAGAAAATATGAATGGAATGTACTTTTGATTCCACACTGCCGCCTGCTCTTTGAAAGGGGGGTTCTTTCTTTTGTCAACTATAAAACGTGTATACAAATTTTTTTAATGAGTTTACAATTGTGCAGTTAGAATCAAAACTGCTTTTCTTTTGGTTTGATGTTAGGTTTGTTTTGGTTTGAAATTATTTTTCTAGCGTAACTTCATGCATTATATAAGCACTCTTTCCCAGCAAGCCTCAATATTCCAGTTTTTCATAAAGCAGTCTACATTTTTTAATTCTCATTTGGTGGCTGGTCCAAGGTGTAATGAGAGAGTTTTTAGAATTTTAAATTATATTTTACCGGAAAGCTTAGGCACAAGTAGCACCCATACCAACATTGTGAGATCTATGAAGCTGTTTTTCTCCCCAATTTATTTAGGTACATGGAAGAAATAATGGAGAGTACTTTATCCCTTCTGGCTGTAAAGCATAATAATTCAAGTCAAATGGCTTCTTCAGAATTTTGGGATCCACTATACTTTTTGGCTTTGGTTGATCTCAAAGCTGTGTGGTTTAAAAAATGGATGGTAAGGAAATGTGTACTTTTTTTGATATTCAGACTTATTATTTTGTTACTTTTTCAAGATTCTTACTTTGGTGCAAGTGGACCGAGCAAAATGCATTGAAATCTGTGTTTTGGAGAGGTTATACCAGCTTTTCTTCACTTATGGATTTAATGAAAGATTGTTCTGATCCAACCGGGTTCCTAAAGAACAAATACAGACAAAGGCAGCAGTCCCCACGTTTTAAGGTTTAATAACGAATTCTGTTCTGAAGGCTGCTTTCCACTAATTAGTTCTGACAAGAAAACGCCTTGCCAAATTGTTTGTCAAGACTGCCAAAAACCCAGAGATAAGAACTAATTTACAAGATTCTCCAAACATGAACTCAGATGTCTACCAGTTGAGCTTCAGAGCTTCTTTGCTTTTATCTGGCTTTTATCCTCTTGAGGGAAGGGCTATTACTTTGCAGCCTTATTCCTGAGTCGCCTGTGCTGTAATTGTTCTTTACTCCAAGTGATCCTTTGTGCACGTGCACTTGGCACAGGCTCCTCGGGAACCTCCTCATCACTGCTGCCATCCCCCACAATCTCTGAAGGCAGCAGTCAACTTCCTGATGGCCCTTCATCAGAGTCTTCGCTCTTCTCAGCCATCTGCACCTGCTACCGGATGACCACAACAAACATGCACTTTGTCCATGCAATTGCATTTTGTACAATTATATGAAGATATTTATTAATCTCAACACTTCACAGCATCCAGATCTCCAAGGATAAAATGTACCGGAACGAGCACAAATTGGAAAATTTTGTCCCTTCATCTCACTTTCACTAGGCACATTCAAGACAAAAACAGGTAGTCCTCGACTTACGACCACAATTCACCTCAGAATTTCTATTGCTAAGTGAAACATTTGTTAAGTGACTTTTGCCCCATTTTACGATTTTTCTTGCCACAGTGGTTAAGTGAATCAGTGCATTTGTAAAGTTAATAACACAGTTAAATAAATCTGGTTTCCCCATTGACTTTGCTTGCCAGAAGGTTGTAGAAGCTAATCACATAACCCACGGCACTACAACCATCTTAAATATGAGTCAGTTGCTAAGCATATGAATTTCGATCAGGTGACCATGGGAATGCTGCAATGGTCGTAAGTATGAAAAATGGTCATAAGTCACTTTTTTCAGTGCCATTGTAGCTTGGAACGGTCACTAAATGAACTGTTGTAAGTTGAGGACTACCTGTATGCCAGAAAGGTCCGTTTTGTCTGAGAGGCAATTCTGTAAGTACCAATGTCCAAGTCACAGAGGGCTAAAGATGGTGGGATTCAAAATTTTTTTACTACCAGTTCTGTGGGTGTGGCTTAGTGGGTGTGGCAGAGGAAGATACTGTAAAATCTCCAGTCAGAGGTGATATTTGCTGGTTCTCTGAACTACTCAAAATTTCTGCTACCGGTTCTCCATAACTGGTCAGAACGTGCTGAATACCACCTCTGGCTAAAGAGATGTAAACAATGTTTTGAATTTAGTTTCAGTATGGCCACACTAGGCGCATAACTAATCCCTATTGATGTAGATCTTTTGGGAGTGCAGCAGAGGTGGTATTCAGCAGGTTCTGACCAGTTCTGGAGTTCCACAGGTAGTGGAAATTTTGAGTAGTTCGGAGAACCAGCAAATACTACCTCTGACTGGAGATTTTACAGTATTCCTTGTAAAATCTTCCCCTGCTATGCCCACCAAGCCATGCCCACAGAACTGGTAGTAAAAAACATTTGAATCCCACCACTGGAGTGCAGCAGTGCAATTCGCTTGCCACAAAGCAATGTGGTTTGCCACCTCATGTTGTCTCCCTGAAAAGCTGAGTAGCTGACATAGCTTCTCTATGACACAAAGTTAAAAGCAAATTTGCGTATCCATTAATAATTTATGTGTTAGCAGATTCAAAAGAAAACAGTGGCTAGTTCAGAAACTTGCTAACAAAGGTATAGTTGCATCCATAGGAGACTTTGGCTGAATGCAGCCAAATTGTTTTTATAGATTTGTAAATCTGCAGTGTTGACTGGAAATAGTATCAGTGACAACAAGAAATAGGCATGAAAATAAAAATAGAACTTTTTGGGTGGGAATTTTGCACAATCTTTTTAAGCAAATGTGAAATGATCATTTTTTAAAAAATGGAACGTTTAGAGGAAACAAATCTTTTGTTACTGATTTCAGACGTAAACTGTAACTACTAGTTTGTGCAATTGTGCAATATATGTTCATTTGGCTTCCTCTAAAGGTGAGAGTTTTCGTTAAAAAGGCTTGTTTTCTCATCTTGCACTGAATAGAATTTATGTTAGAATGTGCTACTTCCTCTTTATACAATGTTGTTGCAAAATGTATCGTAATAATTGAAGAAAGAATAATAATATTTTGTTCAGAAACAAGTGCTAACTGTATTATACCTCTGCTTTGTGATATTAGCATGCCTACTACAGCAGAACAGTAGTGTTAAGGCTACTTGAAAAGAAATACAAATCTTTGGTAAGTCTGTGCTACCCAAATTTTCAGATACTGTAGCTTTCAAAAGTTCTAAGTATTTAGAATGCTACTTCATTTAATCAAAATGTCTTTGGGAATTATGTTTTGCGAGCATTTTGACACTGGATTTAATGAAACCCAGAGTTAAGGCATTTTTGTATCAATAAAAGAAATAAGATGTATATGATACCAATTTCAATGGAACTAAGAGATACAGATAATTCATCATTTCTATTTGCATATCAATGTGAGCCTATAGGCAGTTGCCACATTTTAGATATAGTTTTTAGAGAGACACTGTATATTTCATCTTATCACTCATATGCATCTTTTATATAAAAATGTATCGGAGTGCAGCAAACCTACAGTAACTTTGCTAATGATCTAAATGGAGTGAAATATTGTTTGGAGGGTCTATAAATTTGCACAATACATGGTCTCTGTGGTGAGATTTGATATGTTTTGTTATTTTACATTTTAGATCATTGCAACTGTTGAGCAGTGTGCCACCTATTTGGAAGCTTGTGAGTCAGCAGTGAATGGATCAAGAATGTTTAATCTATTTTCCACACCACATAATAGTACGCACTATTTCTATTTGCTGTATAATATTTTTTAAAAAATCCTTTTATTATTTACACTATTCTAAAACAGTGAGTAGTGCTATATCAACAAGACTTTTAATAGCAAGTTTTATTTCTTTTTTTATCATCATTTCTAAGCCATCCTAGTCCTGAAAGTCTCTATGCTGCTCATAATAAAACACCCACACACCCACAAATTGTAACATTAAACCAAAAATGTGGAAAACTGCAACAAAACTTAATGAGAATAAAGAAGCTAAGATGTAGAAAATAGCTAAGATAGATGCTCACAATTTAATCAGCCTGTGTCAAAGGCTCACTGGAAAAATACTGATTTTAATCATTTATAGACTACTATAGATAGAGCTACTATAGAAAAGCAGTGTGGTGGCTGAGTGGTAAAGAAGATTGAGAGCTCAATCCTAGGTAGCGGCAGATGTTTCCTATGTTTCAAAGATTAAAATATCTGCTGTGAACTCAGGAGGGGCATCTGGCCAGCAAATTCTCAGCTCCATCCAGTCGCCCCAACTCTGCCCTGAATTAAGGGATTCCAAGGTCTTAAAAGGGACTCAGTGGCTAAGATGCTGAGCTTGTTGATCAGAAAGGTCGGCAGTTCAGCAGTTCGAATCCATGTAACGGAGTGGACTCCCGTTACTTATCCCAGCTTCTGCCAACCTAGCAGTTTGAAAGCATGTAAAAATGCAAGTAGTAAAACAGGGATCCCTTTGGTGGGAAGGTAAAAGCGTTCCATGCACCTTTGCCATTTAGTCATGCTGGCCACATGACCAGGGAGACATCTTCGGACAGCGCTGCCTCTTCAGCTTTGTAACAGAGATGAGCAGTGTCCCCTAGAGACGGAAATGACTAGCACATATGTGCGAGGGGAACCTTTACCATTTAAGGTCTTAAAAAGGGAGGTTTTTATAGGCTACTACAGGTATAGGGGACTGTGAGGGCTACTATAGAGTAGGCCTGTTGTTTCCCTGCATGTCAAAGGATATAAATCTTAACCAACCCTCTATATAGTCCTTGACTTAACCATTTGTTTAGTGACTTCAAAGTCACACTGAAAAATGACATGACTATTTTTTCATCGTTACGACTGTTGGGATATATTCAGTTTCAAAATTCCTAAATCCATTTTTCTGATTGTTTTTCTCTATTTTTTTTAACAGTTTCCTCTTGAAATTTGAAAACAGCTGTTGCTAACAGATGTATTTTGTATAAAATTTATAAATTTATAAACTAATGCTAGTCATAGGAGTGTGGTACTCTATGCAAGGGGAGGGAAAAAGAAAGCACTTTTACTGATGTTTCTTTTCTTTCAAGGTAATAAACAGAAGAATTTCTACACAGGAAAAGAATTGCAATATATTTATTTTGTTCATTCCCTGAGCCTCTTAGGCAGATTATTAATATATAAACAAGGCAGAAAACTCTTTCCTATTCAACTGAAAAACCGAAAAGGTAAGGACTTAATGAAAAAGATTTGTTGATTAAAACAATTTGTTCTATTTTATGACTGCTTTTCTCAAATGTTTCTCATTTGGGATATGTTAAACTCATCTTCTGTTTAAAAAAATGAATAGATAATACTGTGGAAGAGAATGGAAAACTTAAGTTTTATGGACATTCAGGAGACTGTGCCAGTAGCAGAGACGGAAAAATAAATTCAGCTAACAGTAAATCATAATATTCATATATCCATAGCAAAATGTCTTGGATTCCTGTATTTACCTTTCCCTTCTCCAGCATGACTGCAAACAGATCGTTTCATTTTACAGTTTACCGGGGCAATCATAATATATACATCTGTAAAATCTGCCAGTAATGTCAGTGTTCCAACTAACAACATCCAAACCAATAAAAAGTCACTAACCCATCTTTTCCCAAAAAATTTAGAAGAAGAAAAGTGCCATCACTTGTATTATTAATAATCCTTAATATCCCCCGCCAACATAGTAGAATCTGGATTGCACTTCAGAAAAGAAAATACTCTTTTTCAGAACTACTCTTTAATCTGTTTAAGAAGTATGGTATTAAAGTCTCCCCATTTGATGCTGGAGGGGCCAATATGCCTACCCCATCCATCCACTTAAACAAACATAGTTAAAGATATCTGTCTGCCTATCATATTTAGCTCATAACAACGAAATATGAGAGACTTACATTCTCCATGGCAAAATCCTAACATAAGCGTCATTGTTATTTCCAAAACGGCTTCTGGACTTGAAATAATAGAATACCACAGTTGGAAGGGACCTTGGAGGTCATCTAGTCCAGAGGTCGCCAACATTTTGAATCTCAGGGACCACCAAACTCATACTTTTAAATCCCAAGGACCATGAATACGTGTTTTTTTTAAAAAAAGCTAATATATTTAGTATAACTTTTTTATGTTAAATATAAATTTTATATATATTTATATATATATATACACAGACACACAGACACACACACACGCATACATACATACATATATACATACACACACATACATATACATACATATATATAGGTTTTCTTAAGTTTTCACGGGTTTTTATATGTATGGTATTTAGGTTTCTTCAGGTATTTTCCCACATTATAGTTGTGCTTTTAAAGTTGTAGCAATGTTTCGGCAGAATCTCATCTGCCATCATCAGGCTTCTGTATAGTGTTCGTCTGAAAAATAAAAAGCACAACTAAAAAAAAAAGCACAACTACAATGATTTGGGAAAATACCCGAACAAAGCTGAATGTCATCCATGTGTGTGTGTGTGTGTGTGTGTGTGTGTGTGTGTGTGCGCACACACACATACACACACTTATTTAATTATAACTAAAATGTAAATGCTTAATGATAACAAAATAAAACGTTCCAGGCTGGAAGGTTCCCCCCACCTGGCACCTTCCAAAGAGACAGAAGAGAAGGCGGTGCGTGTGTGTGTGTGTGTGTGAGCTGAGTGGCCTCGGGGCAACTGCTGGGAGAAGCAGAGGCAGAATGGGGGCTTTGCTCTCCTTGGGGGCAGCGCCACTTGGCTGCCACTTCAGGGGCTTCTCAGCAGGCATCTGCCTGCAGAAGGACTGCCACTCTTGGTAATTAATTGGGGGAGGGGAGGGGGAGAAAGTGGAAGCTGCTTTCAGATCCCGGGTGGAGGATTGAGAGGCTTAGATCTGCAGCCGAGGAAAAGCTGTGGGGGGGGGTCTTCCAGCCTCACCTGGAGACAGGCAAGGAAAGGTGTCCCTGGGGGCAGTTCACTCACTTTAGCACTTTGCTGCCAAACCCAGCCACAGCCAGTGATTATTTGGGGTGGGGCTGGGGGAAATTCATATCTCGCATTACCCAGGAAGGAAAGGAGGTAAAACAAAACTCACTCTTTCACTGGGACCTACAAAACGCCAATCTACCGTGTTCCAGGAGTTCTTTGAAATCATCAAACGCTCCCACTTGCAGTTCCTGTGCCTCCTGGCTCAGGTCGCTGAGATGCACGCTCCGACACATGGCGGCGGCAACAGCAGTCCCCTCCCCCAGCACCCGCTGTCAGCTCTCCCATTAGTTTTCTAGCTTTGAATTGCTCCCGGCTCTCTCTCTTTCCTCCCACCCACCCACGTGAAGGCAAGAAAGGAAAGGGAGATGGAGCCGTGCACAGTTCTCCCTTTTTCCAGCCCTTGCTGCCTCTCCCAACATCGAAGCCTCGGAAACGCAGGCAAAGCCGCCACAGTGGTAGCGCCCTGAGTTGCTTGCTTCTCCACTACTGCCTCCTCCTCCAGCACCGCTTCCTTCTCTGAGTTGGGCAATTCTTAACTAACCAAGAATGCTATGGCAACTCAGGATGCTACCGCTGCGGTGGCTTTGCGGCGGCTTTGCCTGTGTTTCTGAGGCTTCGAAGTTGGGAGAGGCAGCAAGGGCTGGAAAAGGGGAGAGCTGTGCACAGCTCCTTCTCCCTTTCCTGCCTGCATGGAAAGAGAGAGGAAGGAAAGAGAGAGAGCTGGGAGCAATTCAAAGCTAGAGAACTAATGGGGAAGAGCTGACAGCGGGCACTGGGGGAGGGGACTGCTGTTGCCGCCGGCGCCAGGTGTAGGAGCTGGTTGACGTATGCATCTCAGGGGCCTGACTCCGGAGTCCCTCAGAGAGCTGGGAGGCGCAAGAACTGCGCAGCCCAGATTAATTGCTTTGGGGGGCCATTTCTTCTGCGACCCACCAAAAATTTTCCATGGCCCACCAGTGGGCCACGGCCCACCGGTTGGAGACCGCTGATCTAGTCCAATCCCCTATTTGAACAGGAGACCCTATATCATTTCAGACAAATGGCTATCCAGTCTCTTTTTAAAAGCTTCCAGTGTTGGGGCACCTACATCTTCTGAAGGCAAGCTATTCCACTGGTTAACGGATCTCACTTTTATGAAATTTCTCCTTAGTTCTAGATTGCTTCTCTCGATTAGTTTCCATCTGTTGTTTCTTGTCTTGCCTTCAGGTTCTTTGGAAAATAGTTTGACCGTCTCATCTTTGTGGCAGCTTCTTAAATATTGAAATAGTGCTATCATGTCTCCCCAGTCCTTTTTGCTAGACAAGACATACTCAATTCCTGTAACCATTCTTCATATGTTTGAGCTTCTAGCCCGCTAACCATCTTTGTTGCTCTTCTCTGCACAAATGAATTAATAGATGGCTACCAAGTCAAGGGCTTTGTTTTGAAATATGTTCTTTGGGTCAAAGCAAGGGAAATAATCAGGGAAAGGCCTATGGTATGCTAGATAAGAGAATGTGATAGGTAATATCCTCCTGATAGATTCTTACTTTGTAAATGGCAGCCATTTTCAGGAGCACTCAACATGCTCCCAAAAGTGGCAATATTCCCATCAATTTATAAAGAATGGAGATTCCTGGTTGGCTATATAAATAGACCATTCCAAGAGCTATACTGTACAATGTAAGCAATTCAGCTTTTCAGCTCAATTCATTTATTAAAGAATCCAGCTGAGAAGAGCCAGAAGTAATGAGTTACTGTTTAACATAAACCAAATCATAGACTATATTAAGTAAAACTTCTCAAACATAGCTACCTAAACACATTAGAGATTTTAACCTTTGAGAATCCCTGGGATTTCACAGCGTGGCTGTTATTCTCCATCAGTCGCTTGATTAAACCCATTTAAATTAATGACTTCTTCTAGGGAAATGGGAATAGTTTCCAAAGAGAGATATATTCTTTTTCCCTGATTGGATTGAATGTTTTCTAAATGATTCTTACAATGTCGGTTTCTCATAAGGCTGAGTCATCAAGAAAGTCATTTTCCTGGTTTGTACATAGCTACAATTAGTTTTTAAATGTTGCCCTGATTTGCATAATATTTAAATCAAAATGTGACAAGTCTTAGTGTGTTAATTCAACCATGTTCAAATGTGTATATCTTGTCTGGCCTCTATAGTTTTTAGCTGGAGATTTTATGACCAAAAAGAAACGCAGTGAGGATTAACTTTCTCATTCTATACAAACTGACCCTGATTGGACCACCATGTCTCTCTCTCTCTCTCCCTCCCTCCCTCCCTCCCACTCTCTCTCTCTCTCTTTGTTTTGAGTACTACAAAATAATTACAATTGAATTATGATAAAATAATTGTGGTATAAGATATTGGCCAAGGATGAGAAAAGCAGCAAAGTGCTGTCAGGGGTTCTTTGCCATGTCACTTTATATTATATTTTCACTTATACATTTTTATGATTATAATTTCAGTTTTTTCATGGTCATTTGGTAGACATAATTTAATACACTTGCTTTTGAGAGCGGGCACAGAATTTCATTTTTAATGTGGCCCAATGTGCTTACACTAAAAAATAACCTATCTCCTCTTCCCCAACTCCCCTCCCATCTCATCTCATCTTACCTCATCTTGCGGTCATTTATGTAGATTAGTATGCATGTATTTATTTATGTTGTATGTGTAATCTTCAGCTTATAACCACATTTGGGACAAGAACTTCCATCCCTAAGTCAGTGGTTATTAAGAGAGTCATCCCCAATTTTGCTATGGTCATTAAGCGAATCACCACAGTGATTAAGTGAATGACAAAAAAACAAGGCTGGCTTCCTCCATTGATTTTGCTAGGAAAGTTGCAAATGGTGATCACAAGACTCCAGGACACTGCAGTCATTATAAATACATGCCAATTCCCAAGCAACCAATTTTGATCATGTGACTGTGGAGACACTGAAAAGGTCATAAGTGTGAGGACTAGTTGTAAGTCACTTTTGTCAGTACCTTGTAACTTCAAATGGTCACTAAATTATTAATGGTTATAAGTTGAGGACTGCCTGTGTGCAATATTTCCCTGCACCCGTGTCAAAACCTTAAGAAAAGATCCTAGAAAATAAAGATGGGTTGTTTATATGGACTCCGGGTCCCGTGGCTGTTAAAACAGCAGCAAACCTCGATTAAATTATTTGGAGGAATAAATGAATCCGACAAACTATTTTGACCTTGCTAGAAGAGCACTATACTTGAAATTAGATAATTATGGTGAATTTAATGGCTTCAGTTGATTAAGCCGAAAGAAATGGAAATGCAGCTTCATTTGTTTATGTTAAATCTGTACAATAAATATTGTTCCATAAATTTTGTTACTAAAAGCATTTTACATTGCTTTCATTTTCAAGTATTCTCCCACTTCTGATTTTCCTAGATCTGATGACACTGAAAGACCTCATCATAATGTTTACGCGTCTTATTTATTGCTCCCCAAATTGCCCCAAACCCCTTACTGTGCATTCAGGTAATAATTCTCATTTATATGCAGTTATTTTATAAACAACTTGCTTTGAAAAAAGTATGTCTGCTGAGGGTTAATCTATTCTGTAGACAGATGAATATCCAATGTGCTAGGAAGCTGCGGTAGTCGTTATTATCTGACTTGGAGGAGAACTGAGGGAAGAAAAAATAATAACAGGAGCAGGTTATTTGAAGGGCTACCTCACCTTGAGGGTGTCTGCCCATCCTACTACGTTAGACAGAGTAGTCCCTTCCTTTAAATGTTTCACCCAATGCAGGGGTCCCAACCCTGGGCTACAGTTCACTACAGGGCCTTGAGCAGGAGTGGGATTCTACCTGTTCTGTCCACTTCTGTAGATCCGGTTGCTATGAAAAGCAGCAAACAGAGAGCATACATAGAACCGGTTCTATGTCTGCTTCTGTTTTGGTCCACCTGCCCGCCCAGGCTGTTACCTGACCTTTATTTCCTCTGTTTTCAAAGCTGCTTTGCGTGACACAGCTGTGGTTGAAAAAGCAGGAAAAAAGTGCTTTTTCAACTGCTGCGCACTTGCATGCAGCACTGCTCAGCTGTCCAGACAGCTCAGCGGGTCGTAAATCGCACTCATGCGAATCATGCACGTGCGACGCAGAGCAACAGGACCGGTAGTTATACCGGTCAGATCCCATCTCTGGCCTTGAGCTTTTCGGAACTGGGCCGCATGCATGCATCCCCATTCTTGCAAACAGCAGGCAAACACTTGTGCATGTGCTTGACACAGTGAAGTGGAACCATCCCTCCCCACCCCTCAGTCTGTGAAGCCTAAAAGGTTGGGGAATTCTGACCCAATGGGACCTCAGAAGTATATCTTCTTTGGTTGCCATTGTAGCCCTTTGGAAGAGCTTCTCACATGGGATTTGAGGGACTTCTATCCTCTTAGCCTTCCATAAGACTGTGAAGAATATCTGGATCTTCCACTAAGCATTGACTAGAATGGGGTTGAGCTAGAAAGCTGTTTGGTTTGATGTCTCTATTGGGAAGAGTACTTTTATTTCTATCAGGTTTTGTGAACCACGTGAGGTATTATTGAGACAGGTGGCTGTGTAAGTTCTGTAAGTAAATAAGCACATTGTTGTGTGTGTGTGTGTGTGTGTATATGTATGTATGTGTGTGTGTGTGTGTGTATACACACACACACACACATATACATATACATATACATATACATATACATATACATATACATATACATATACATATACATATATATATATATATATATATATATATATATATA